ATACTGAAAGATTATTGGCCTTTTTTTTAAAAAAAAAAAAGATTCATGAACGTCCATATCGAATATCTAATCTATGTAAACAAATTAAATAAAATAATTTTGAATTAGAAGTATGGACTCGTGAAAAGCTGGCCCTGGCTGGCTTTAAAAAATATCTAAAGTAGGTGAAATTATATTTTGCACTTTATTATATTGCAATTAAGGAATCTACTTCTTTCCTCTTTCTTTTTTGTTCTTGTCTTTGCTCTCATTATACATACATATTTTTGTTCATATACCAACTTTTACTGTTTTATAAATGGTTGATTTGTAGTTTATTTTTATTATTTATTTTTAAATTGCATTTTGAATTATTTATATATGATTTTGAAAGAAACGAGCAGAAAAACGAGTGCGGTCCCAACTCACAAACGATTTGGGAAAAACAAGCTCGGTCCAATTAGACTTATAAATTAGACATATTTTCTCTATATAAACGATGTGAGACAACTCACATGTTAATATTCTAATATGCCTCTCGCCTATGATTCCTTCATAAGAGCATCCACAATGCTTTGAGTTCAATCATAAAAAAATTATATGCCACATAAGAAATAGACATAGTCTAAAAAAATGTATTCAACAATGCAAACAAAAGTAGTCTGGGTCCTGCTGATGTGACAGTCAGAAAAAGATATTCGGTCTACCCTTAAGTCTATTTTAGACCCAGTAGAGACTTAATCTCTTTGTATTGGAGTGAATTTTATTAATTTTACATACTTTTATCCATGTCATCCAAGGCTTGATTTTATTTACATGTCACATAGGCAAGACTAGACTCAATGCATTGTAGATGCTCTAAGATGTCCAAGTCCTTTAAAAAACAAGCTGGGTAAACGGGTACGTCATCGCATAGTTCCAAATAGAACCGACTCTGATACCATGAAAGAAACGGGGGGAAAAACGAGTGCAGTCTCACGCAGATGAAGCACACCAAGATAGGAAAAACCCAGATGAAGCCTAAGTGAGGTTCCATCCAAAAATTAATTGATGGAAGGAGAGAGCCCGTTACTTATAACTTATAAGTGAATATTCTAATATTTTATTTTCGACGAATCGTATTTGTATAATGGCATTTTTCGTTTTTTTAGTGTTTGGTTGGGATATTTTTTCACAATAATATTAATAAACTGTAAGATATATTGGTAGAACAAATAATAAATATTCAGTACTTTTGATATTAAATTAAATAGACCACACACATCCCCTTATTAATTTCTTTACCCACACTGTCCACGCACCCACCTCGCATTGTAACCCTCGAACATGCTCCCATCTCAATTTTCAGGTGACCCTTTCGTTTCCTTTTCATTTTTCATTGTCACATGTTTAGTATTCTTAAGTACTTAACCTTTTCTTAGTGTTTACAATTGGAAAAATTCCATTATAAGGCTTAGACTTTTCGTTGTTGTGTCACGATAAGATGGAATTTTCAACTTTTTAATGGTTTCAATTTTAAATTATTCTCAATATTAAACTTACTTTTACATTTTATTTTTCAATTTAAGACTCCAAATCAGTTTGTATTTTGATATAATTATGTAAACCACACTGTTTTTTTTTTTTTAAATAAAGTTCTGTACTAATTAATGGAGAAGAGAGAGATAAATTAATTGAAATTTGGAAATAAAAACAATAAGTATGGAAAGTAATATGTAAGTATATGATTGGAGTTATATATGATGGAAAGTAATATGTAAGTATATGGAAATCATTGATTCTTATGTTATTC